CACATAAATATTTAGAATTAATCAATGATACGAAAGGTTTATGGTCAGTTTGCATTATTACTTTGAGTCCTCTAAGTAGTATAAAAACGATCACATGACCATACAGAATACAAAAGTTCCTTCTCAATTTGAGCATATTTCCTCTCAGAAGACGTTAATGTACGCGAACAATATGCAACAGGTCGCCATGTTCCATCACTTTGACATTGAATTACACAACCTCAAAATAAAATTTTTAAAAAAATGAAATTCTTACCAATTATTATTAAGGAGGAATCATAAATTAAATATAGGAAGAGATTAATCGATTTTCTGTATAATTTTATACTAACTTTGTCTAAAAATTGTTAAAATTTGTAGTATATGTTACACCCTCTTCAACGATATATGAAGGAGGCGTTCCAGCACATTTAACAATCTTCCAGTGGAACCCCACCCATGTTTATATTTAATTTTAACTTTATCACCCGGTTTAAGTTCTTTCAAATTTTTTGCACCATATTTTGAATTATAATACACTTCCCCTTTTTGCTTATATGATTTATCAGCCACTCGATATTCTTTCTGGTTTGGTGTATAAGGTTTGAGCTTCACAGATATTTGAGTTAGAGTTGTAATACAGAAGGACTTAACTAACCAAACTAGGTATTGGTGTTGATTGATAAGCCATTAAAGCTGAAAGGTAATCAGTTTGTTTTAGAATGGTCTTTGAAATATGCACTACTTTCTCTGCTTGTCCATTTGCTTGAGCATGGTATGAACTAGTAGTGACATGTTCAAAGTTGTAATCTTGTGGAAATTGACGAAATTTTCCCAAAAACTGAGGACCGTTATCGGTGATAACTGTTTCCGGAATACCAAAACGAGCAAAGTCAACTTTCAAAAAGTTAATCACAGCAGCGGACGAAGCTTTATGCATAGCATGTTTTCAATCCATTTTATACTAAGTAGTATAAAAACGATCACATGACCATACAGAATACAAAAGATCCTTCTCAATTTGAGCATATTTCCTCTCAGACGACGTTAATGTACGCGAACAATATGCAACAGGTCGCCATGTTCCATCACTTTGACAGTGAAGTACACAACCTCCAATTCCATAAGCACTAGCATCAGCACTGACCATAGTTGGTTTTCCTGGATCATAAAATGCCAATGTTAATGTAGAAACTAATAGTTCCTTAAGACGGCTAAATGCTTTCTGCTGATCAGGACCCCATATCCAACCAACTTTATCTTTCAACAAATCAATTAGCGGTACAGCTATAGTAGATGAATGAGGAATACATCTAGAAACCCAATTAATCATTCATTCCCATGAAGCCTTTAACATCCGACTTTGAAGTTGGTACTGGCATATTTACAATTGCAGCAATTTTAGCAGAATTAGCTTGTAGACCATCCTTATTAAGGGTATGTCCAAGAAATTGTACTTTAGTTTTCTCCCTATTCAGACGAAAACCCATTTGTATAATATTATAGTATATATATATATATATATAGTATCTATAACTTTATGCAGACGATCATCATGTTCTTCCTGAGTGCTTCCTGTAACTAGAACATCATCAATATAAACAACTACTCCTCTGGAATTATGAGCTAACGTATCACTCATAATTCGTTGATAATCTCTGAAGTTATCCCAAAAGGTAAATGCTGAAAACAATATCTTCCAAATAGAGTGATAAATGTTGTAAGCTTTTAACTATTTTCCTCAATAGGGATTTGCCAAAATCCTTGCTTAGCGTCTAATGTTGAAAACACTTTTGCTCCTGTAATCTTCCCAATTACATCCTCTATTGTTGGAATAGCAAAACGTTTACGCACAACACATATTATTAAGGTTTCTCAAATCCACACACAAACGAATTTGATCATTTTTCTGTGGAGCAATTACAATTGGAGCACACTAATCTGTTGGTTCTCGTATTCGTTTAATTACACCTTGCTCTTCCATACAAATTAATTCCTGTTCCACCTTTGGTAGTAGCAGTATTGGAATGCGACGTGGAGTATATGTACACAATACGGCACAGCATCAGTTGCAATTTTAATTTTACCTGGTGGAACTTTAAGACATTCTAAACCCTCAAATACGTCAGTAGATAATGTATTAACTCGCTTGATTAATCCCAGAGATTCACAAACATCTTTACTAAGTACATGCACTCCTTTGTCCAAGACAAGAACATTTACCATAGCATCCTTTTACTGTACAACCCAATGTTATTTATCCTAGAGGTATAGCCTCTCCTCCGAAGAATCCAATCAATCTCATAGAATTAGGTTGTAATGACTTATTTTTTAAATTCAGCATATCAAAAACAGACTTTGGTAAGATATTCACTTCTGAACCAGTGTCTAACAAAAACATAACATTATGATTTTGCACACATACTTCACCTAGCCATAAAGAAGAAGATCCACGTCGTTCTGTTCCAAGTAGAAGTTTATTCTCATCCGAATCACTACTGCTATCAGGCACATACTGTTGCACAGCTTTTAAATGTTTTTAATGCATTTTTGCTTTACAAACACGTGAAAAGTGTCCAATCTGCAAACAAGAGTGACAATTTTTATCTTTCGCAGGACGATTTACATGACTGTCCCAAAGACCCCATTGGGCCGAGACACGACTTGCTCACCGGCTATCTGTGATTTTGAAATTTCACAGGTATAACCAGAGAAGGACGGCGACTTACAAACACTAGCTGCAGACGACTCTCCTGTTATTGTACGCAAATCCTATAATATATAAGTACGCAGTTTCCAACCATTTTTGCATGATCAACCGCTTCCTGAGACTTACACTTATCCTTTAATTGTGAGCAGCTGCTTCTACAGTTTCATATTCTGCATACCACAAACAAAACGATCACGTAGTGCTGCATCGTCAACGTTCCAAATTCAGAAGAACTAGCCAAATTTCGTAGTTCCACAGCATACTGCGCAATAGATTCTCCAATTCGCTGACCTCGTTTATAAAAACGAAAACGTTCGGAAACAATAAGGCGTTTTGAGCCATAATACTGGAGTAACCAGGCCCGTAGCCAGGGGGGTTTTTAGGGGTTCGGGCGAACCCCCCTTTTTCAGCGAACCCCCCTTTTGCCAGCGAACTCCCCTTTTGCCAGCGAACCCCCTTAGCCAGAAAACGATCCCCCGTTTCCAA